AGGATGACCGTTGTCACTCTTCGATGTACTGGCTCTGGTCATCAACAACGATGGCCGTTGTCACTGTTCGAAGTACTGACTCTGGTCATGAGCGGCGATGGTCGTTGTCACTCTTCGATGCACTGACTCTGGTCATCAACGGTGATGACCGTTGTCACTCTTCGATGTACTGACTCTGATCATCATCGGCGATGGCCGCTGTCACTCTTCAGCGAACTGACTTGTTCATCAGCGGCAATGACCGCTATCACTCTGCAATAAACTGGCTTGTTCATCAGCGGCGATGAACGCTGGAACTCATCAGCGAACCAGCTTCCTCATCAGCGATAATGGTCGTTGTCACTCATCAGCGAACCCGCTTGCTCATTAGCAGCAATGACCGCTATCACTTTTCACTGGTTCGCTGGATCAGCAGCGGTAATGAACACTGTCACTCTTCACCGAACTGGCTGGTTCAGTTGCGGTAATGGACGCTGCCACTCTTCACTGGACAGGCTGGATCAGCAGCAGTAACAACCGTTCTCACTCTTCTTTGAACTGGCTGGATCATCTGCGGCAATGGACGCTGTCACTCTTGATGGGCTGATTAACTTTCTCACCCGCGTGATCCCACCACCGCTCATGATTAGATGGGGAGAATATTCCTTTTCGTACATTCTCCACGTGAGATTGGATATTTACTCCTGTACGATAATTTAAATCTTTGATTGTCTCTCGCTGGTCCCACCAGTTCCTTCATTCATGCATCTGATTGGAGTGCATCCCCCTTGTAAACGTGGGCCACGTGCGTGTATCAGTCCATGTCCTTCCCATTAATAGCTCCCTTTACAGTGAGCGTTGTTCGTGTATCATGTGGAGAGCCTTGTGAGTCGGATGATCCAGCCTGCTTCTCCTTTGTTGGCTCGCTCGTTCCACTGCCGCATGCATAGAAAGTCATCGAGTACACCAAGCACACAGGGCGCCTTCTTTCCAGTGGATGCATCCGCTCACTACTTATACCATTACGCTTGAGAGGTCCCCTGTTCGGATGTCCCCTCTCCCTCTCTCACTTCTGCTCTCTCTCTCTCACTTCTGCTCTCTCTCTCTCACTTCGTAGTCTCTCTCCCACTCACTGCACATTCTCCCTCTCTCTCACCGCGCACTATCTCTCTCTCTCACTGCGCACTCTCTCTCTCACTCACTGCACAGTCTTTCTCTCTCTCACTGCGCAAACTCTCTCTCTCACTCACTGCACACTCTTTCTCTCTCTCACTGCGCATATTCTCTCTCTCACTCACTGCACACTCTTTCTCTCTCACTACGCACTCTCTCTCTCTGATTGCACACTCTCTCTCTCACTCACTGCACATTCTCTCTCTCACTGCACACTCTCTCTACCACTCACTGCAAATTTTCCCTCTCTCTTACATCGCACCCTCTCTCTCTCATTGACTGCACACTCTTTCTCTCCCTCACTGCACACTCTCTCTCTCTCTCTCTCACTGCGCACTCTCTCCATCTCACTCACTGCACACTCTTTCTCTCTCACTGCGCACTCTCTCTCCCCCTCACCGCATATTCTCCCTCTCTCTCATTGCGCACCCTCTCTCTCACTCACTGCACACTCTTTCTCTCTCTCACT